AGTGCATAGCAACATTCCCAAGCCACACAGTGTTACCAGCAGCACTTCTGACTGATGGTAATGATTTTTAAGCCACACTAGAACAGTGTGTAGCTGTCTGATGGTGGTGGCTTTGCAGGATGGGGTCATGGGTCTGTGTTTCTCTGACTAAATGCTTTCATGCATAACCCTAACCAAACATGCAGTCTGCCAGGTCCACCACAGGTAGGTGGAGGACTGGAAGGAAGCACAGTTCAGCTGCAGGTTCCACCTGCTCCTCCCAACAGAGAAACAAGCCATGTCTCACAGCAGATCAAGAAGTAATACAAAAAGGGAAAAGAATTGGGTGCTGTTTTGAGAGCATCGGTGTGCTCACCCCACCTTCTAAAGGTCATGCCCTGGCCTTTGTTCAGACATTGCCCCCAACCCACCTGGCACTATGTGGCAGCCTCCTAATATCCACCTTCCAACAATCCAGGTAGCCCAAGTGAAACCCATTTCTCCTGAGGTAGGGAGATGGCCTGTCTAGGCAGCCTGGCCCAGAAGAAATTCCTTTCCCAAGAGTTGCTCCTTCAACACTAGGGCAAGAAAGTATGCAATTAGGAGAGAATGGGACCCTTGCCAGGAACCACAGCCCCCATGGGGCAAGTGAGGGTTAGAAGCCAGCTTCTGCTGTGGATGAAGCTGCTTTCACATAGGAAATCTCAAACCCTTTCCAATGCCTTGGGGGCCAGGCCAGTGATCTGACACTCTAGATTTCAGACCTAGCCAGAGAGAGACTTGCCTTTCTGGAGGCAGTGCCATCTGGTTATCTGCAGACTTCTGAGGGGACAATCTGCCTCTCCAGACAGGCTGGACAGGGTGCTAAGCTGTCTCCTGCACTGGGTCTAAAGCTCCATTCTCCTGTTTGTAGCACCCCGATAGCTCCCATGGAGTTTATTCACATTCCATCTTTATTTACAGTTTCCTGGGCTACAGTGTAAAACAATCCAGGTTCACACAGACTGGCATTTCCACCTCAAAGGATGCTTTTGCTGGATGCAGACTCCTTCAGCAAACTGGCAACACCACCTCATATAGTAAGACTGTTCCCAATGAACTGATGGAGAGCTTTCTGTAACAGTTTCTCATGACTCATTCCAGCACTCAGAAGCCTGAGGCAGGAGAATCACTAGATTGAGGATGTCTTAATCTACATAGTAAGAGCTTTCTAAAACACAAAATTTCTCTCTATAGTTGGTTAATTAAACCCATTGTGATGCATTTGCAGTTTTCTTTGTTAACTCCATTCAGGATCTGCTGGTCTCTTGAATCTGAGAGCAGATACCATTGTCTCTTCCAATTACTAACCTCTGTCCTCCCTTCCTTTGGAGTTTTGAGTTCATGTTCTACATCTCCACCTTCCTGCACTTCACTTTCAGAAGTCACTCTGCTCGGTAGGGTTTTCTCTGATCCAACTTCTAGTGCACTGACTGCTCTGCTGCCTGTGCCTAATGTGTTAGACTTGCTCACTGGACTCTTCAGCTAGTTGTTTTTGTAAGTATCACCACATTCTCAGTGTGTGTGTGTGTGTGTGTGTGTGTGTGTGTGTGTGTGTGTGTGTGTGAGACAGAGAGAGAAAGACAGACAGAGAGGACAGAAAGAGACAAAGACAGAGACAGAGAGACAGAGACAGAGACAGAGAGACAGAGAGACAGAGAGAGACAGAGAGACAGAGATGGACTTTGCCATGACATGTGTGTGGAGGTCAAAGAACACCTCTGTGGACTTCCTTCTCTCCTTCCACTTTTACGAGGATTCCAGGGATCAGACTTAGGCCACTGGGCTTGCATGGCCAGGCATTTTTCAAACTTCTGCAAAACTGTATAGTCTTCTATCCTCTAAAGTTATGTTAATGATTTTTTCTTTCGTTCATAGTAAGAATAGCAGTTTTACTGTGTGTGCCTACAGATCAGCAAAGCTCTCCACTTAATGGACCTGACTCTTTTATCACTTACTCTCACTGCAGGAGTCTTGTATGTGGATCATCCCTGACTGCGTACAGGCCACTTCACTTGAAAATAAAATACGGTGAGAAATTAAGGTCCGGAGAATTCCTCTAGAAAAGATTTTGTTCTCTATATCACAAGCCTTGTGAAGAACTCCAGCACAGAATCTCCAGAAACATGTGTCCCAACAATGCCAGTCCTCCATGGCTTGAAGCTGGCTGGGGTGATGTAAGGGCTATGTGACACCCCCTCCGCCAACACACACAAACATACACACCTTGGTGTGTCACTCTTCTAGCTCAAGGAAGCAGGCAGAATGTCCAAGGACTCTTATCCTGGGAAGGCAGAGTCCACTTAACATCCTGAAAAGCTAGCAAGTGGTCTCTGGGACCACTTATTCTGAAAGTGGGCACACCCACCAGACAGCAGTGACTTTGGTGCCAGCTGATCTCACAAGGGTCCAACAAGAAAGTCCAATAACCCTTGTATCTTTTTGACAGCCCTTCTCTCGAAAGACGGTGATTTTTTTTTTTTTTTTTTTGCTGTTCCTTTTCGTTTCTTTCTTTACTGGCTTTGGCAACATCATATCTGCCTTTTTTATTGTCTTTAGCAGGAATCTGCTGCAGTAAAAGCCCCCCCCCCCCCACCTTCTGTTAATCCCAACTCCAATGGCTCAAGTTGCCATTCCACAGGGCTTCCATGGATGTCTCAGAGGCCATCTGCCCGCTCCAGAGACGGCCTCTGCTTCCCCTCCAGTGCCATCTCAAAGGCTGCTGCCTGCTTCCTCCTCTGCCTCCATCATGGACACAACCCTCCATGCACCTCCATGTCCCCACGGCACTTGCATCACAGGTTTAGTAGTGCTGGAGAGGCATTACTCAATAGGGGTAATTTCTTTAAAATGCCTCTGGAAAATTCTTTAACTACCCTTACCACAAGAAAATAGTGACAGCACCTGTCTTCCACAGTCACCATCTACGGTGCCTACCTTCTTCCCTCCTCAGGCTTGCCATCTATCCTACCTTATACATCCACCACTCCTGGGATCCCTATCTCTGTTCTGCAGGGCAATTGTTCTTTTTACACCACACATCTGGAACAGCGCATAAAACCCCCAGTCTCCAGCAGGCCCACAATCACTCCCCCCACCAAGGCATCAGTGCTTTCTCTGACCTTCCCTAGAAATGCAGAACTCAGGCAGCATATTAGAATTTTTTAAGTAATTTTTTCTATACAGTATATCCTGCCATTGATGAAACAGTGAGCCCCCTATAGGTGAGGCAACTAGAGCTGCAGCCTTGGAGTTTCTCCAAATACTAGTGGAGGCAGAGAGAGAAGAAGGTTCCCAGGCAGGGCTGGAAGCTCCGAGGACTAGACATTTCCTGTTTGCACAGTCCAGTGTCCTCATAATGAGGCAATTACACAAATTTTCAGAGCTTTTGAAATGAGAACAAAAATAAACAGGTTGCACAGCCTGCCCTTGAATACCGGACACCATCCTGGGCTGTGAAGAGCTGATCCTTGGGTGAAAATAAAGATGCACTTCACCCCAGAGCACAGACGGGCAGCTCTGCGGTAGTTGCTGCTGCTCCTCTGAGCAATCACTGTGTAAATCTGCAGTGTGCCTCCTTCTGAACCACAGCACCAGAAAAAATCAATTCAAGCATTTCCCCAACTGCAGCATTGGAGCAAACCAGCCCTGGCCACAACTTAAGGCTCATGGAAAATACAAAATAAGCCTTCTAAGGGGCACAGGAGGAAAAGAAGAACCTGCTAGAACTGTGTAACTCACAGCTTCTGCAAATAGTATTTCAAAGAACTAAATGAGGCCGGGGACACTCATGAAATCACTGGTAGGAAAAAACCTCAACCAGAGCCGAGCGCGTGAGAGTGCAACATGAGTGCAGAATAAACGCACAGGGTGCACTGACGGAAGAAAGAGCAGCACTTTGGAGAGGCTGAAAAGCAGCTAAACACACTGAATCCAATAAAGCACCCCTACAAGTGCATGAGACTTCATAATATGGAAATGAGGCAATAACCATCAGACACAAACCGACTCCCAGACTCAATCAAGGAACACAGTGCAGTTTAGAAGTTTTTGGCTCTGGTTTATAGTGTCACTCAGCCATTTCCCAAACCAAGTGTCTTCCTATGAAGAGAGCTGACAGTTTTCTTCTTCCATGAGAGCAGCAAGGGGAAGGCTAGGGAGGAGTCTGCACACACAGAAGGCGCATAGCCAGGACTACACCTTAACAGTCCTCGGAACTTTTGATGAAGTGACTTGCCTGACTCACTCGGGACTCTGGGCAGCAGAGAGCATCTTCTACAGCTCACTGCTGACTGGCCAGTGTCACACATATACATAGGTCTGGTTCTGCTTGGCATCACTTTGTTAATGCTCTGCTCATTAATTTAACAAACTATCAGGAGGTCTACTTGGAATGGGCAAGCATTATCTCTCAACTTTCATTTAATTAAACTCTGCTATTGCAATATGACATTCAGCACATAGCAGGGGGAATTATCTTAAGGACGAAGGTAAAAAGTATTTCAAAGGCCTCACTTAAACATGAAAGCATAATCTAAAATTGCCCGAGCACACACTATAATTTTTCTATAATATTGAAGATGTTCTTTCTGGACTTGGTAATTAATTGGATTCCATGGAGAAATTATTCTATCCTCCCTGATAGCAAATGATATACACAGGCAGGAGAAGCAAGGCAAAGGACAGCCATCAGCAACTACCCTGCTGCCCAGACGAGAAGCTGCAGCTGGTCCAAGAGGGAGGCTGGCTGCCAGGAGCACAGGCATCTTCTTCCCCACAGAGTCCTGACTGGAGCACAGAACGAAGGGCAGGACAGCTCCTTCTCCTGTTGAGAATGCACTTGGGTGAGAAGTAACAGGCCCAGGTACCACCAGCCAAATGAGAATAAGGACAATAGTATTTGGCAGAGCTGAGGGCCACGACCACCTTCCCTCTAGCACACTCCCTGTCTCAGTGAGGGGATGCTCTGGACAATGACTTACCATCAATCCGGCTCACAAGTTCCTCCAGCATCTTCACTTTCATTTGAATCCCAGGCTGGGCAAAGGTGTAATTGTCCTAAGGAAAAAAACATAACAATTTATGTTATATGCACATAAAACAAAACATAGGACTGGGGATGCTTTGAGACCTTAGACTCAGATACCCAGAACCCACACAAAGGCCAAGCAGCTACAGAAGCCACCTGTGATCCCAGCACGTGAGAGAGAGAGACTGGGGATCCCCAGATCAGGCAAGCTAGCTAGACTAGCTAGAACTAAGGAGTTCCAGATTCAGCCAAGAGACTGCACCTCCAAAAGTAAAATGAAGTGAGATTGAAGAAAGCAACCGACGTCAACTCCAGGCCTATACACACACCAATTAGCACATACTCACAAATGGATGAACATACATGAAGATGTACCACACATGAGTACCACTCTCCTCCAATAAGCCAGATACTCCAAAAAGGAAAAAGCGCTGAAAGAAAGTTTATAATACAAAACAATCCTATAAAACAAATCAAGTACACACTGCTAGGCTGCCTCTTGGGAAACAGAAACAGGGCAACACTCTGCATAAGACCAACAGCACAGCACCGTCAGGTCTCACCCCGCCCCCATCTGATGTCAGAGGATGCACACAGTTCCCAGGAATGCTTCATGGAACATTTCTATCTGATAATGTTGGATATTTACATTTAAATTGAACAAACCAGCACCCATGTGTCTGGCTCATTGGGCAGAACCATCTGCTGGAATGACCACCTCGCTGGGCACCTGGACAGCAAGCACCCGGCCCACCAGGGAGCCAATGAGAAATAGCAAATGTGCTGACAGTGCAACAATCCAAGTGCTAACAATGTAGTCACTGCATGAGAAGTGCAGCGATATGGGTGAGCCTGGGTGAGGCTCATGTGGATTGCGGATGGGCAGCACAGTTTGGGGTTTAGGAGCTTTAACTGACAGAGACCAGAATAGAACCTTAGCTAATACTTAGGAGCTGTGTGACATCCACAAGTAATTGTTCTCTCTGGGCTTGTATCTCATCATCTGTGTGATGGGAATGCCCACCCTGCCATCTTGGCTTGCATGGAAGCCTCAGAACAGGACCCAGGAGAGTAGGGAAGGGCTTTCAAATACAACATGGACATGACAACTGGCAGCACTCAAATTGACAGCACTCGGGAAGTAGCACAGGGTACTGGTGAGAGGGCAAGGAAGAATGCTGACTCCCAGAGTCCACAGGGAATGGGTTCTGTATCTTCACAAACAGTGGGTGAACCAGGCAGCCTACACCTAAGGGCATCAAGTTTGCAGTCTGCAAGCAGCAGGCAACATTGCAGAGTCAGAAGCATCAGCCCTTGGTCCCCTTCAGGACATCACAATAGCACTCAAAGTGCCTGAGCACCTGATCCTGAGTAGGATTAAGGACATATGCTAGCCAGCAGAAGTCCTCACTGCCAAGCAGCCACTGTGGTTCAATACTAACAAAACCTACAAGCTGTTTAGATGTCCTTCCCAAGCAGGAAGAGCCAGGAATGCTCCCATGCTGGGACATCTCTCCCAGACAGAACTGCAATGAGGGGCTCTAGACTTGCAGTTAACCCCTAAGTAAGGGTAAGACCAAGAACAGCTGTGCCGACCAACCTCACCAAGACCATACCAGGCCTTCCAGAGACCTAGCATGGCAGCAAAGACAGGATCTGGGAACATGGTAGGAACTGCTCAGGACCTTGGAATGACTTTCTACTATGATTCTGAAAGCAAGATCTTTGACAGGCTTATGAGCTCTCCTAGAAGCCAGATCACAGAAGGAACAACTGTTGGGTTCAGTCTCAAGTTCAGAAAGTCAGGAGGAGTCACAATCATCTCAGAAACCCAAGCATCCTGCTAGCTGAGATGGAGCAGAAGCTAGAGTCAGGACTAACTGGGATCTAACATACCTGAACTTAAAAGCCATAAGAAAATTTGGTTCTAGTCCTCAGTTCTTCAGAGAGTCATCATCTTTGAACCTGAGCTTGTCAAGGATGACCTGTGAGACTTCATTAGTCCTGGGAGGCTAACAGAAGGCTAATGGTCTGGTCTGTTGGTATATGTTAGCATGGTGTCCCTCACCCTCATGGAGGAATTTATGATTAACCAGGTTGAATTTTTCCAACTGGACAGAGATGAGAAAAAAACCTAAGTGTGGTTTGCAGCCTCTGCGTCAGGAAAGCCTCCCAAACCACTTATTAATGTTCTGGTGTGACAAACCTCACCAAGAACTTCTTCTTAACAGACCACACTTACCTGAGTAATGCCAGGAGAATACTGTACTCAAAGGATCAAGGGTCTCAATGGGTTGAGCTCAAGGATCGTGTCTTGTCCCACACAGCTGACTAGGAGTATATTGGCTACCCCAATTACAAACTGAAGAAACTAGGGGGTGACATATCCCCTAACTACACCCACAACTGAAGTATGCTTCATATGGTGAGAGCCAGCACCAGGAGACTAATCACTGGGAGGACAGAGGTGCTGTGGGTTCATCACTTGCCCAGCTCTGGCCCATCATCTCTGGCTGAAGACAGCAGCCTGGACAATCCTGGAATTAAGTCAGTGATTTGGCTTCCACGCTTTGAAAAACACTTCAAGCCCCTTGTTCAGCAAAAATGGCAGGCCTCTTTGCTTCTATCTGTCACTGTTTTGTTTTATTTCTCAGTGTGTTCAAAGCTCAGGAAGGGAAGATAATTTTCAGAATCCAAACATTGAGGCAATAATGACACCAGAGTCTATAAGGGAAAAAAGAGGAAGAGGGAGAGAGGACCCTAACTCGAAGAGACCTTCAAGGCTAATGAGAAGGCCTTGGAATTCTGGCCACAGGCAGAAGACAAGAACAGCAGCGTTCAGACTAGTCCAATACAGGATGGGCAGAACTCTGGAGAGAAAAGCCTGCCTTAATGGAGGTGCAGGCAGGTCCAGCTGGGGATGGCCCAGCTATATCTATGTCTAGAATGGCTCCACAGCTTAAACTCTGCCCTGAACCCAGGCTCCGGAGCTCTAGTAGCAGCTACACAGTAGTGCTCTAAGATGACAAGCCCTGGAACTGAGGGCTGCAGAACTAGCCTGCATGAGATGGCACAGAGAAGGAAAGGACTGTTGTGTGTCCTGCTGACTGCCAACATACACTAACAAAGCCAGACAGACCCAAGGCTCACCCAACGGCCCCCCTCCTACCCCTTCCCAGATACACACATTCACAGATACGACATGGGAAATGCTGCACTTGGAAAATACCTGCTGTGCCAATTTGGAGACAAAACACGTACACAAGAAGCAATGTGGGAGGCAAGATGACAGTGGATGCTGACCCAGGAGTAAGCATAAGGCCTGGTGAGGATGAGACAAGGTTCTAAGTAAAGCTAGAAGTGGGGAGCAGAGCACAGAGGGCCCCCGGGTCCCTAGGGTGCATGGCATACTCAGGAAAGGGAAAGGGAAGTGAGGGCAAAGCAAGCAATGGAAGAGAGCCACGCTGAGTTACAAGCAGACGGTGAGAAAGAGGCACAGCTGCCCAATGACATCAGCAAGGGGAAAGGGCAGACGCCTGCTGTCATGGCTGCAAGATTCAAATTTTGGAAAGACCCCTGATTGTACAGTGTAGAAATAGCAGAGTGGGACCAAAGAAAGAGGGTGCTATCAGTTTGAAGACAATGGCCATAATAGAGATGAAATGACAGCAGAGCTTCCCACTGAGGATGCAGTCGACCCAAACTTCCCAACTGCTTCCCACTGACCTGAACTGACTGGGTTTTTGAACTTCAATGCAGGATTTTACATTTATTCCTATTAGTGTGCTCATTTGATTGGTTCTGGGCTGGTATTCCAGGCAGCTGAACTCATTGTGAATCGTGATTATGTCATCCATCACATTAGCTGTCCCTCCAAGCTTAGACGCACTGGTTAAAGCAATACCCTCAATGTCTCCATTACAGTCTCAGAGAAGTGGTGAGAAGGACGAGGACAAGGACGGGCCTGTGGCAAGTCTCAGAGTGCAGTCAGCACAGAACAGTGGCTGTGAATACATGGCGCCTTGCCTAAATCCTTGTTTTCCCATCTGCCAGTTCAACCTCCTCTTGTTTCTCACCTATGATAGGGAGGCAGCATGACCCCTCACAAGGGCACAGGGTGAGGAGTGAGCAAATGCATCTAATGGAACCTACCGTAGCATCTACACCAAGTACATTTCCAACCTCCCTGTCCCTAGCTTGTAGATCATAGTACAGTGTCTATCACTGAGGAGTCCTGCCAGGCACGGCAGGCCAGCAGCCCCCTTCTGTAAACCACTGCAGAAACATGACCCAGGCTTATTTCAGACACAGGACAAGCAGCAGCCTAGAGAGTGTGACATGGCAGAGTTGTCAAAATAGAATCGCCACTGGATTGAGGACAGACAGCAATGGATAGAGACAAAATAATGGGATGTACAATGCCAGTCTGGAAAGGCCATCCTTCCAACCATGTGGCATTCTGACAAAGGAAGGGGAAGGGGGGAGGGAGGGGGAGGGAGGGATTTCATTACCTGCAACCCCAGCCATACAGTCCCTTCCACTGAGCATCATGGGGCAAGAAATCCAATGCCAAATGCAAGTTGTCTACAAGAGGAACACTTTTAGTACTATCTTTTTTTTTAAAGATTTATTTATTTATTTGTTTATTATGTAGACAGTGTCCTGCCTGCATGTATCCCTGCAAGCCAGAAGAGGGCACCAGGTCTCATTACAGATGTTTGTGAGCCACCATGTGGCTGATGGGAATTGAACTCAGGACCTCTGGAAGAATAGCCAGTGCCCTTAATCTCTGAGCCGTCTCCCCAGCCCCAAATGAACTCTTCTCTGATGTAAGGCAGCAAATTTGACTGCTCACCATTTTAGTACTATCTTTTTTTTAAAGATTTATTTATTTATTTGTTTATTATGTAGACAGTGTCCTGTCTGCAGAGGAACACTTTTAATAACATATACCCAGTCAGGAGTGAGAGGACAGAAGAGGTCCAACAAAACCCAAGGAGATACAAGTGTTTGGTACCATCAGACAAAA